TATTAATGGGTACTAGAAGGAGAAGCAGGTTTGGGGGAGGTGCTGTGGCCAGTTTGGGACACCATGGGAGTGGGGCCATCAGAGGAGGCGTCCAGCACAAAGCCCAGCGCTCCAGAGTGAACAAGATGGTGGGTGTGACCCCATAGTCTTTAACCAGCGATAGCCTAAACGTCCACCTTTTACATTTTACTTCCCCATACTTTGCCAACATATCCATGCATCACTCGTGTACTTAGCTACTGGGTAGTTTTCTTGAAATCAACTCAGATTTTTTTTTTTAAATTCAACACATTTTTTAAACAGGAAATGTCAGGGTCACCTGGGTGACTCAGTAGATTGCCTACCTCCGGCTCAGGTCATGGTCCCAGGGTCCTGGGATTGAGCCCCACGTTGGGCTCCTTGCTCAGTGGGGAGTCAGCTTCTTCCTCTCCTGCTGCCCCTCCCCCCTGCTCATGTGCTCTTTCTCTCTCTCAAATAAATAAATAAATAAATAAATAAATAAATAAATAAACTTAAAAAAAAAACAAAAACCAACCACCAGGAAATGTCATTTCATTCTAGGAGGTGGAAAACCAGTACTACCTGCCATAAAGAGAATACAGTAGTAGGAATAAATCCAGTGACTCAGCAAGAACCAAGAAGAGATGCTATAAGCATTGGGTGAAAGGTTGTTGGGGACAGGTTCTTCACAGGGTCCCAGGGTACCACCCACAGATGACATCATAATTCAGAGGGGGAGAAATCCAGCAGTCACTTCCCATTACGGGCAGAATTGTTTTTTTTTTTTTTTTTAAGATTTTATTTATTTATTCATGAGAGAGAGAGAGAGAGAGAGAGGCAGAGGGAGAAGCAGGCTCCCAAGGAGCAGGGAGCCCGATGTGGGACTCGATCCCAGGACCCTGGGATCATGACCTGAGCCGAAGGCAGACGCTTAACCATCTGAGCCACCCAGGCGCCCTGGGCAGAATTGTGACCCTCCCCTCCAAATTCATATTTTGAAGTCCCAATCCCCAGTTCCCCAGAATGTGACTGTGTTTAGAGCAAGGGCCTTTAAAGAGGTGATTAAGTTAGGGGCGCCTGGGTGGCCCAGTCCGTGAAGCACCTGTCTCTGACTCAGGTCATGATCCTGGGGTCCTGGGATCGAGACCTGCATGGGGCGGGGGGGGGGGGCCCCGCCCGGCGGGGGGGCCTGCTTTTTTTTCCCCCCCCCTCCCCCCCCCCACTCATTCTCTCTCTGGCTCTCCCTCTCATTCAAATACATAAGTAAAATATATTTTTTAAAGATTTTATTTATTTATTTGACACAGAGATACAGACAGCTACAGAGGGGACACAAGCAGGGGGAGTGAGAGAGGGAGAAGCAGGCTTCCCGCGGAGCAGGGAGCCCGATGCGGGGCTCGATCCCAGGACCCCGGGATCATGACCTGAGCTGAAGGCAGACGCTTTAACTGGCTGAGCCACCCAGATGCCCCAAATAAATAAATAAAATCTTAAAAAAAAAAGGTGATTAAGTTAAAATGAAGTCATATGGGTGGCCCAGTGCACTATGAGTGGTGTCCTCATAGGAAGAGATTGGCAACTAATGTAACATTGTGTGTCAACTATACTTCAATTTAACAAATAAATAAGTAAATAAATACATTAAAATTTTAAAAAGAGGAGACTAGGACACAGACAGGGACAAAGGGAAGGCCATGTGAAGACAAAAGGAGAAAATGGCCATCTACTAGCCAAGGAGAGAAGCCTCGGAGGAAACCAAACCCGCCAAGGCCTTGATCTTGGACTTCCAGCCTCCAGAACTGTGAGACACCAAATTTCTGTGCTTTAACCACCCCATCTGGGCTTTTCTGTTATGGCACCTTGATCCAACTAATATAGTCCTTAACTCCACAGGCACAGTTAGCATTGCTGATCACGCCCCCCCCCCGCCCCCCCGATGGGATGTACTGGGAAGGACACAATGTCCACCTACAGGGTATACTGCCCTTAACTGCAGGACTGGAATCTAATAATGAGGAAATCCAGAAACTGGGACTGCCCACGAGACATACCCATCCAGAATATAAAGAACTTAGGGCACCTGGGTAGCTCAGTAGGCGCTTAACCGACTGAGCCACCCAGGCGCCCCGAGGACATACTGCTTAGTGAAATAAGCCCGTTCACCAAGAGACTATATGATTCCACTTAAATGAGATATCTAAGAATCATGAAAACCATGAAAAATAAAGTAGAATGGTGGTTGCCAGGAGCTGGGGAAGGGGAAATGGGAGTTGTGGTTGATGGGCACGGTTTCAGATTTACAAGACAAAGACATCTGTTACACAACAACGTACACATAGTTAACACTATTATAACACAACAATGTGAATATAGTCAACACTATTATAACTCTAGTTAACACCTAAAAATAGTTAAGAGGGTAAATTTGGTATTATATGATTTTTACTACAATTATAAAGAACACATATGTACATAAATGCATAATAAATAGGGGCGTCTGGGTGGCTCAGTCAGTTAAGCATCTGCCTTCGGCTCAGGTCATGATCCCAGGGTCCTGGGATCGAGTTCCGCATCGGGCTCCCTGCTCCGCGGGGAGCCTGCTTCTCCCCATGCCCGCTTGTGCTCTGTCAAATAAGTAAATAAAATCTTTTGAAAAAATGCATAATAACTGAACATGATGAAATTCTTGGTGCCCTGCTTGCCCTGAAGGTTCTTGAAAAAGGAGATGGTCCCCTCACGTCTGCGGGGATCCAGCTACCCTACCCAGTTCTGTCTGAACATAAGACGAGAGGCCACATCCTGTAGTCTCCCCCATCCCTGCTTCCTCCTTCACTGCCCGATGCAGCCATTTTGAGCTTTTTGGTTTTTAAAAACAATTGCAAAAAACTCTCTTCTGGCACATTTTTTTAGGTGACGTCTAAAACGACCGAATTTTGATCATTATGAAATGCAAAATGTAAAATGTAAAATTGTAATGGCAATACATTCTTTGTGAAATGGATTGAGGGGATTTTCCTACTTTTCTAGTTAATTCCTATATCAGGAGATGCATGTCCCTTGTTGCTAGAGTGAGACTGGGTTGGATATTAATTCTACTCCATTTTTTTTTTCTTAAGTGCTGAGTAACTGTTAAGTTTCCTGTGGTTGCTGTGACAAATGACTAGAGACTCAGTGGCTTAAGATGACAGAAATTTCTTCTCCTACAGTTCTTGGGGCCAGAAGTCTGAAATTGGTATCACTAGGGTGAAATCAAGGTGTGGACAGGGCCCCCTCCTTCCGGAGGTGCTAGGAGAGCATCCGGTCTGTGCCTCTCCCAGCATCTGGTAGCTGACTGCTTTTTTTAAAAATAAGATTTATTTATTTTTATTTGAGAGAGAGAGAGAGCGTGTGCATGCGAGCTCCGGAGCAGGAGGAGCAGAGGGAGAGGGAGAGAGAATCTCAAGCCGACTCCACACTGAGCGCAGAACCTGACGCGAGGCTCGATCTCTCCACCCTGAGATCACAACCTGAGCGGAAACCAAGAGTCTGAAACCTAACTGACTGCGCCACCCAGGTGCCCCTGATGGCTTTCCTTGGCTTGTGATCACCAACTCTCCAACCTTCAAGGCCGGCACCTTCAAATCTTTCTCTGCTTGTCTTCATATCATCTTCTGTTTGTGTCAAATCTCCCTCTGCCTTCCTTCTATAGGAACACGTGTGATGCATTTAGAGCCCCCCCGATAACCCAGAATAGTCTCCCCATTTTAAGATCCTTAATTTAATACCGTCTGCAAAGACCCTTTTCCAAATAAGGTAGTGTTCATGGATTTCAGAGATTAGGACTTGGGATATCTGTTAGGCAGCCATTTTCAGCCTACCATTTGGCATTGAACCATTCAGCAAGTATCTATTGAACACCTAATGGGTGCTAGGCATTTGGCTAGGCACTGAGAATAGAGCTATGCACAAGACAGAGATCCCTAGCCTCCTGAGGCTGACAATCTAAGGCCGCACTGTCCAGCATGGTAGTTCCAAGCCCTGTGTGGCTATTGAGCGCTTGAAATGTGACTGGTCCCACCTGAGATGTCAAATATAAAATACACACTGGATTTTGAATATTTTGCACACAAGCAAAAAAGATTGTTAAATAGTACAATAATTTTTGGATTTTTTTATTTTATTTTTTTTAAAGATTTTATTTATTTATTTGAGAGAGAGAGAGAGAGAGAGAAACAGCATGAGAGGGGAGAAGGTCAGAGGGAGAAGCAGGCTCCCCGCTGAGCCGGGAGCCCGATGCGGGACTCGATCCCGGGACTCCGGGATCATGACCTGAGCCGAAGGCAGTCGCTTAACCAACTGAGCCACCCAGGCGCCCCTGGATTTTTTTAAAAGATTTTTTGGGGGGGTGGGGCGCCTGGGTGGCTCAGTCGTTAAGTGTCTGCCTTCGGCTCGGGTCATGACCCCAGGGTCCTGGGATTGAGACCCGCAAGCGTTCCGGCTTCTCCCTCTCCCGCTCCCCCTGCTTGTGTTCCCTCTCTCACTGTGTCTTTCTCTGTCAAATAAATAAAATCTTAAAAAAAAAAGATTTTTTTTTTTTAATTTTTAAGTAATCTCTACATCCAACGCGGTGCTCAAGCTCACAGCCCTGAGATCAAGAGTCGCATGCTCCACCGACTGAACCAGCCAGGTGCCTTTAATTTTTGGATGTTGATTACATGTTGAAGTGATAACATTTAGGGGGACATATTGGGTTCAATCAGGTAGGCTATTAAAATTAATTTCACTTGTTTCTTTTTAGTTTTTTGTAATGGAGCTACTAAAATATTTAGAACTACATATATAGCTTGCGCTGTATTTCTGTTGGGCAACCTAAGGGGAGGGAGACCATGGACAAAAATTAACACAATAAATAAGTACATATTATACGGCATGTTAGGAAGTGATAATTTCTACGGAAAATAAAGTTCAGGGTAAGAGAGTATATTTGCTTCCTGCTGCTTCTATAACAAATTACCACAAACTTAGCAGGTCAAAAACCCCACAAATTTATTATCTTGCAGTTCTAAAGGTCAGAAGTTCAAAATAGCTCTTTGGGCCTAAAATCAAAGGCCGAGTCTTCCGGAAGTTCCAGGGGAAAATCCACTTTTTTTCAGCTTCTAGAGGGTGCCTCTACTTTGGCTCCTGGCCACATCACTCTGACCTCCGCTTGCAAAATCCCATCTTTCTCGGACTCTGGTCCTCCTGCCTCCCTCTTGTAAGGACTGTGGAGGTTATATTGGGCCCCCAGGATGATACAGAATAATCTCCCCAGGTCAAGATCCTTAATGTAGTCACATACGTAAAGTCCCTTTGACCATGTAAGGTAACATATTCACAGGTTCTGGGGATGGGTAAGGGGCCGTCTTGGGGGAACATTATTCTGCCCACCACGAGGAGGGGCAAACCGGAGGTGGGTCTGCTCCTGGGAACCCCTCCTCCTCCCTGCACCTAAGCCACCAGGGGTCAGAAGTTAGCGCCGACCTGGTGTCTCCAGAATGTTGCCTGAGGAGCTGGAGGGTTTGAGGCCCCTAATCATCACTGGTCTCTGGGCACAGGGTCTCTTGCCCTGGTTCCTCAAAGGGCAGGCTGACCCGTGGGGAGGGGCAGGAGCCTCGGTCAAAAAGGCAATGGGTCCGGCGCTCCCCTCCACCCGCAGTCCGGGGGGACGGTCCCTTGCGCTCCGGCGTGGCCCTGTCTGTCCTGTCTGCGCAGCGTCCGCCTGCTGTGCCACTGGCGCAGGGAGGCGCGAGCCTCAGAGCTGAGCCCCCGGGGTGCGCGGCCCGCGTCGGGCTGGTAGTGAGCGATGTGGTACAGCGCCCCAAACCACGTGGTCAGGTAGTAGCCGGCTAGGGACAGGAAGGGGTGGTCAGTGCAGCTCTCGGGCTACCCTGGCCGCCCGAGGTCCCGCGGCAGTTTGTCCGCCTTCCCCCCTGCTGCGGGGCGAGGCTGTGGGGCCCTGGGGCGCCCCCTGTTGGGTCCCGGCGTTTCTGGGGTGGGGACTCACCTTCTCCCCGCAGCTCCTCCGGATCCAACAGCTCCATGAGAAACTCCACGTCCAGCTGCGTCTCCCCAATGTGCGGACTCCAGATCAGTTCTTCCGTCAGCGCGGGCAGGAAGGCGTCGGCTCCCACGGGCTCTGGCGGAGCCGGAGGACAGGCTCTGAGGTGGATAGGGGGCGTGCAGGCACGTCCCTCCGATCCCCAGGACCACGGGCGCTGGCTGCCCTTCCACTTGTTGGGCGTGCAAACGCCTCCTGCCAGACCCCCAGGCCCGCGTAGACGCCTCGCGCTAGAGCGTACCACCCTCTCCCCTCGACGTGCACGCAGGCGCCTCCCACCCGGCTCCCGCCACCCTCAAGCTACCGCACATCCAGGTGGACGCAGGTAAACCTCCTTTACCTTGGCTCGCGGCCTGAGCCAGGCCCGCGTAAACGTCACTGCACACCGCCAGCAGCAGCGCCACCTTGCGGCGTGGGGCGCAGGCGGCGTGGAGGTGCGCCAGGCGCGCGTGGATGCGGCTCCGCAGGGCGGGGGCGGGGCCCTGCCCCTCGAGCCCCGCCCCGCGGAGTCCCGGAGGCCCCGCCCCCGCCCGCAGGGCTATTTGGCGCTGCTGCAGTCGCCGCAGTTCCTGGGCTCGGAGCGTGCGGAGTCGCGTCCACAGGGCAGGCTTCAGGGGCGCCAGCACCGCCCGGCACAAGGCCGCCTCCACCGCGGCGCCTGCGAGGGGTTGGGGTGGGTGAGCGGAGGGCCGCCGGGCTGACCCCCTCCCCGGGGCCGAGCGCCACCCTCAAGTGTAGACACGGGTGAGAGAACACGCGCGGAAGAGGGAGCCTGGGTGTGAGCACGCGCGCGGGAGAGGGAGTGCGGCTGTCACACGTGTGCGAGACGGAGCAGTGGCGAACGGAACAGGAGTTACTCTACGCAGGGAAAGGCGTGTGAGTGGCAAAGCAAACAGATGCGCAGGGATGGAGAGAAAGAAGCTGGGTGTGAACACACATGTAGGGCCAAAGGATGGCGCACGAGAACCCGAGTGGGTTCGGGAAATGGCCATAAGTTCTCTCCCAGCCCTCCTTATTACCAAGATGGTCGTCCTTCTGGGGAGCCCCAGGCCCCCTGCTCTCCAAAACGGCCCTGACATCGGGGTCCTTTGATAAGTGATCCTGGAGGTCAGTAAGGAGGTGCCGCACGTCCTGGAGCAGCTCTGTGGCCGGGTCCCCAGGCCTGTGGGGGCTTCCGGCATTTGAGGTGAGGCGCGCCCTAAGGCTCTGGAACTGCCTGCCCACGTAGCTGCCCCGGGCCCTGGCCAGAGCCTGGATGTGATGGGTGAGCACATCCTCGGGGCCAGGGCTGTTCTCTTCATCTTCGTAGTCGCCCTCGTTCTCGTGCTCGTCTTCCTTCTCTTTCTCCTCCGCCAGGCTGGCCAGAGCCGGCCCAGGATGGTGCACTTCTGGGCTGAGTGGGCCTTCAACCCAGGAGACCCGGTGCGGGGCAGGGTTCCTGGGGGCTGGGTGTGAGGAGAGAGTGGGGTCCCACAGAACAGCAACAGTAGCTCCCCCGTCCCCGAGGGGCCCAGGGCCCTGTCCAGCCCAGCTAACCTGAACTGGGTCTTTCTGCAGTTTCTGGAGGTGTCTCCGGGGGGATCTGCTCCATCCCCCACCCTCTGTGGGTCTCCAGGTAGAGCTTGTTCACCATGGACAGCACCCTCTCTGAGATGTTGAGGTGGACACTGCCAGTCTGGGGAGGACCTGAGGACCAGAATAACCGAGGTGTCCCCGATGTCCAAGGAGCCAACCCTGCTTCCTTCAGGGCACCGGGGGACTTAATTCCCAGCCCCATTACTGGTTTGGCCCCTGGCCCCTTGTCACTCAGGCCCAGGAGGCGAGCCTCCCACAGCTTCCCTCACCCCCATTTTATTCTCCCCCAAACCTGGTAGTCTGGTCCCTGAAAGGCCGTCCTGCCGGACCAAGGAGCCTGGAAAGTGGCTTCCCCCTCCCTTAGGGAACCATCCCTCACCTGTGTGTTGGTCTCCAGGCCTTAGAGTGGGAGGGGGCAAGAGCAGTGTTCTGGGCAAAACATCCCTGAGAAAAGATAAGGGGGAGCTGCAGTGTGGGCGGGGTGTCTTAGGGATGGATCGCCCATAGCCCTTTCGATGGGTGACCTGTACCTGCTGGCCGATAGGAAGGCCAGGAGATGGGGCAGGTCCGGCATGCAGAGGTTAGAATATTCCAGAGACACACCTGGGGGTAGGGGGCAACAAGGGGCAAGGAAGAAAAGTTGAGGGGTGGCAGCCTCATCTTCCCTGGGACTCTCTCTTCCTCCGTCCTGTAATTCCCCCCGCCTCCGGAGTCCTTCAAGAGCGGGAAATTTCTACCCTTTGGAGTCCCCATCTTTTCCTGTGTCTTTATGTTTGCATCCCACTTATGGGATTGCCAAATAGCATTTGGTAATTAGCTTACCGAATAGCATTTGGGAGGTATTTGGGAAGCAAAGCTGATTAAATTTGCTGTGGGCTGGAATCTAGGGGGTAGGCTTCTCACCTCCAGGCAGCTTCTGGATCTGGTAGGTGTGGACTTCTCCTGGTGAAGCTCCTGTCCTCAACACCAGGACCTGGCTGGGGTCATGTCCTGTGACCAGGAAGCTCTGGGCAGGGACAGGGTGGAGACAAAGGTCATCTTTTTTTTTTTTTTTAAGTTTTATTTAAGTAATCTCTACACGCAATGTGGGGCGCAAACTCATAATCCCGAGATCAAGAGTTGCCTGCTCTTTCAACTGAGCCAGCCAGGTACCCCGAGGCAAAGGTCATCTTGAAAGGGATTTGTGCAAATCTCTGTTACTTTTGCCTGCCCAGCATCCATTTCCCTTATTTTGGATTCCACACCCCAAACTTCCTTTAAGGAAACCCACTCCCTCCCTTCGTCCCTGCCGGTGGGACTAACTCCCTCCAAGCCCCAGGGATGGTCCCGTGACCTGATCTAGCCAATAGGATGACAGTACTTTTTCATCACTGTGATTGGTTGAGAGGTGGGCATGTGAATCAAGCCCAGGCAATGGAAATCTTCCACAAGATTTTTGCTGGAGGGGCGCCTGGGTGGCTCAGGTCGTGATCCCAGGGTCCTGGGATCAAGCCTCGCATGGGGGTCCCTGCTGCGCGGGAAGCCTGCTTCTCCCTCTCCCACTCCCCCTGCTTGTGTTCCCTCTCTCGCTGTGTCTCTCTCTGTCAAATCAATCAATCAATCAATCTTAAAAAAAAAAAAGATGTTTTGCTGGAGCTCTTTGGAAGGAAGCCTCTTTTTACACTGGAATTGCTAGGCTTGTGGGATGTGGCCGCGAGCTGGGGACAGCCACCTCTGCCACCACAGGGATAGAGCCCCCTTGTGAAGGAAGCTGTGTAGACCCTCTAGTTGCCTTGTCCAAGTCTATCCCTATTCCTTGCAGAATTGCAGCCTTGTTCTGGCCTAATCTGCCCAGCTGGAGAAGACGGATGATGTGTAGGCAGTGTTTCTCACCTCTGGGTTTATAACTCCCAGGTGAGCTTTAAAAAAATATTGCGCCTGGGCCCCATATATTGTGAATCAATTGTGAAGGCTTTTGGTTTTCCTGGTGCAAATGGTGCTTCCTTTCTTTTCTTCCTCCTTCCTGGAGTGCACACATGTGCTTGGACCTGGGGTGGCCACTGGGCAATCGTGAGGGGAGTCCAAGGGAATGGCAGAGAACCTGGCCTTGATGTCACTAGGGCTGCTGGACCAGAGTCTGTGGCTGCCTTTCTGGATGTGTCAGAAAGATAAATGCCTGTTTACCTAAGCTACTGTAGAACAAGTGTTTGTTCCTTGGGTTTTCACAGTTGAAGCAAAGCCAAGAAATGGGATGAGGAGAAATTTTTAAGTTGTCTAATGCTCAGGGTCTGGACATTCCTGAAATTCCCTTCACTTCCGGATTTTTTAGTCTTTGGAATCGATAAGGAGCCTTTTTGGTTTGCCCGGTGTGTGGTGTTTGTCACAAGGAACCAGAGGAGTCCTGACTGATCCACGGTGTCCTGGGGAGGGTCAGAGAAGGTCCCTGGCTGTGAGTACTCACCCCCGGTGGCCACAGCTCAAGAAGGGCTTCTGCATCCTGAGTATCCAGCTCTGGGATCTGCCACACCCCCCACGTCCTCCATAGGCGAAGGAGTGGCTCTGGGGTCCCAAGGACCCCTATGGGGGTCTCACCTGCTCCATTCACCTGTGGTGGAACCCGTCTGGGACATTCGGGGTCCAGGAGACCAGGGGTTAGAGGTGGGCAGTTGGACACTGAGGTGGGGTCAAAGGTGCAGGAAGGGGCAGCCCAGGGATGAAATGGGATTCAGGGTCTTCTGGGGGGGGGGGCATTGGATGGAAGGGACTTCTGAAGCCAGGGGCAGGAGTTGGAGACCCCAGCCCCAGCAGCCCTCACCTCTCCCCGACGGTGGGGCCTGCAGAGGCCTCATCCTCCGGCTGGGCCATCCTCAGGATGCGGGAGGCCAGCAAGCCATGGTCTGGCCTCTGGCAGGAAGGAAGATAAGGCTCAAGGTGGCTCCAACCCAGCGGTAACAGTCAACGTCTTTACAACCAATATAGCAGAAACCCTGACCAATGAGAATGGACCCAAGGCCCCTTGCTGTGGCAGGTGTTAATGCTTCAGTCCCCTGATGGTGGGGAGATCTGGGGATCCCAGGAGGCAGGCCAGGGGGTCTTGGCGGGGAGGGGGGAAAGGGAGGACCCAGACTGACGGCTCTTTACCAAGTGGCACAGACATATTTCAGCTTTTGACAACCAGTGCTGCCATAACACAGACATGGGCCAGTTGAATAACAGCTTTTGCCCAAACCCAGTGCCCGGACAGGTGCTCAGCCCACAGGAGACACACTCTGTCAATGTGACCTATCTTATACAACACCTTCCCCCTTCCCAGACCACAGGGGGGCCCCTCAAATATTCCCTCCCCCACATTTTATCAGAGACATTTTCAAACATCCAGCAAACCAGAATTTTACAGAGAACATCCTTATACCCGCTACCTAGATGTTACTGCTGGCATTTTCTTTTTTGCTTTATACCACATCTGTCCCTCTGTCCATCGGACCTCAACTCTTCAGCAGGTACGTAGTCCTAGCTAGCGTGGGTTATCACTCGAGGTGGGCATTTTTAAATATTTTCTCTGCGGCAGTGCCCGGAGTAGGACCCCTGGGTCCGTTCATCCGTGCACCTAACAAACACTTCGTAAGTACAGGCCCAGACTGGGTGCCCTGGGGAAACAGTGGTGGACAGAACAGGCCCCTGGCCTCAGGGGGTGGCGTAGGAGAGGGGTAACGAAGAGCTAAACAAATCCATCAGCCTGCTGACTAGAAACCCAGGGTTTCAGGCAGGGTGGGGACAGTGAGCAGGTGTCCTGTCCAGGGGCGAGCAGGAAGGAGGGGTGGGGGCGGAGAGGCTGATGCTCCCCTGGAGGGCCGGTGGTGCTGGGCAGGGTGGGATGGGCCAGCAGCCTGACACCAAAGGGAGGCAGTGGGGGGTGACGATGCCAGCCGCTAGGTCCCTGGGGACCCCTACCTGTTCTCCGAAGGGAGGCCTGGAGTAGCAGGAAGTGAAAGTGTTCCTCAGAGAGAGAGGAAGCTGGGCGGGCAGGGGGAAGAGGCGGGGCTGGGGGGGATAATCTGAAATCGACCTTCCTCTCTTGCGGGGGCTCAGGCCTTAGGTGACTGGGCTTTGGAGGAAGGAGCTCTGGCAGTCTGGGAGTGCGGGGGTAAGAGCTGCGGGGCTCTCTCGCAGACCCCCGAGTCCCCTGTCAGTACCCTCGGCTGTCTCCCACGAGAGCCTGGAGGTGTTCTGGTTCCTCTAGCCCCCTCCCTCCAGCTGCTGCTTTGTGTGCTCACGGAAAGGAACAGGGAGGCCGGATAGCTGATCGTTAGTTGTTTTTGTTTTTAATGTCTCCAATAAGCAACACTATCTGCCCCTCCCGGCAGGGGAAGTGGGTCCCAAAGGGAAGGGGTCCAGCACCCACTTTGGGAGTGGGAGGCACAGACTGGGGAGGCCTTCAGGCTCAGCTCCCCCCAGGGGGTGTTATGTCTGGAGGGCCCACACTCCACCCAGGGTACATTAGACTTGGCCGACTTGGCCACAGGCCCCCTAGGAGCAGTGGAGGGCATGGGGAGCCCTGGGGAGCCCCGGGGCCCCTGTCCAGAACAGTTAGGAGTTTAGCGGCAGCCCTGGCCCCGGAAGCAGTTAGAGATTAGGGGAGGTTGACCCGCACCCCGCGGCTGTTACAGCTGAGCTGCCCAGGCCTCGGCCCCTGGGTGCTGTTAGAGATTTGCCAGGGTCAGGGGGCTGGGACCCCAGTTTTGAGAGGGGGTAGTTAGGAGACTGGGGCAATGTTCTGAGCTCCCCAGACAAGAGCTGCAAGTTAGAGGGGGCCAGGGCTGGTGGCGGCTCTGCTGTCCCGGGAGGTGCAGCTGTCACTGGCCCTGCTCCCCCTCCATGGTCCTGGCCTCCTCCTTGGCAGGAGGTGCAGAATTCCCGGGGGAAGCTGAAGTGTTGGGGTTGGGGCTCCCTGACCCTGCCTGGGCATCAATGATGGCATGCTCCTTCCGGACGAGGTCCTCCAGCTCCTTCTGCAGGGGGCAAAGTTCACAGAGGTCAGAGGTCACCATGCATCATGGGGTCAGAGGACCTGTGGGGCAGGGGTCTAGGGACAGGGCTCAGGGTGGGCCGAGGTGGCCCAGACTCCTTACCTTCCATCCGAGGAGGTCGGCGAGGGCCAGGCAGCCCTGGTCACAGTCACCCAGCCAGGCCACGTCCCTGTGGGTGGGAGAGTCAGAGCTCCCAGGCTTGTCCCAGGCCCCTTCCCGCCCTGCCCGGTCCGAGCGCCTTCCCACCTCGGCTGTGACCCTCGCAGGCCCAGGACTCACCTGTAGGCCTTCTTGGAGTCGAAGTCCATGCCTCCTCCGAGGCCCATCATCATCCCCAGGAAAGGGTCAGTCTGTGGGGGAGAGGGAAGCTCAGAACACAGACCCGGGAGCCCGATGGGCTGGGGTGTGTTCCCTGCTCTGTGACTTCGCTCAAGTGACCTGGCCTCCCTGAACCTCAGTTTCCTTATCTGTAGAGTGGGGGCCATCACCAAACCGCTCCTAGCAGTGTGCTGTCAGCGGGTGAATACTTAGAAAGTGCTTAGGGGGCGCCTGGCCGGCTCTGTAGGTAGAGCATGCGACTCTTGATCTCAGGGTCGTGAGTTCAAGCCCCATGTTGGGTGTGGAGCCTACTGAAAATAAAAAAAAAAACACAAAATAAAATAAAACAAATTAAAAAAAAAAAAAAAAAGGAAGTGCTTAGAACAGCGCCTGGCACATGGCACGTTTGGCCTGTTCGAGGAACCATCCCTGCTGAGGGATGGGGGAGCGAGACCACCTCAGGAAAAGAGCCAAAAGCAGGAGTGGGCGCATCCCAGTGCTGGGCTGTGGGCCCTGGGTCCGGCTTGCCCTGACTCTTCACTTGAACAAAGCTAAGCATTCCTGTCCTGGCTTCAGTCACTTCAAGGTGGGGTTCTAGCCCTTGCTCAGAAGGGTCCCGAGTGACCCAGAGGCCTGTAGAATCAGAGTCCAGGTGACCTGGAATCTGACCCCTCTGGATTCTAGAACGCCTGGTTCTGAGCTGGGGGGTCCCAGTTTCCCAGGAAGCCAGTGAAAGGGAATGTGGGACCCGTGTGAGGAGGAGGAAGAGGGAAAATCAGAGGGGGCCTCAAAAGCCAACTCACCTGCCCAGTCTTCTCCTTGTTGATGAGCAGGCGTGGGGTAGAGAGGGGTGCCCTGGGGGATGGCGAGCTCAGTGGTGAGGACCTGTCCTGGCTCCCCCAGCCCCCAGCAGCCCCCCTCCCAGTCCCAACCCCCAACCTACTTGCTGATGAGGGATGCAAAGGGCTGCACCTGCAGGGAGGTACCCATGATGATGAGGAGATCCACCTTCAAGAAGTCCTATGAAGGGAGGGCAGCCAGTGAGGGCTCTGGAGGCTCAGCAGGGGCTGGGCTGCCTCCCGCCACCCCCCATCTGCAGCTAGTTGGGGAAGCCACCTGCCCCAGGGCCCGGCCCTGGCTGCCCCCACGTCAGGGAGCACGGGGCCACTTACTGACTGCATGCAGGAGAAGAACCTTGCTGGGAGGTTCTCACCGAAGAACACGATGTCTGAGGCATATGGACAGACAGACACAGGAAGAGAGGGTGAAATGGGAGGCAGAGTCAGGGTCAGAGAGAGAGAGAGAGAGAGAGGGCAGGAGCAGAAGGCAGACCCGAGGGCTGGGGTAGGAGCTGTGGAGCAGTGGGGACAGATCCGGGGCACTGGTCAGGGAGGGAGGGTGGCCCGAAGTGGGGTGGATGGGGCGTGTGGCCTTCTTGGGAAGGGGCTTATGGAGGGGTGGGGGTCCCAGCCCAAATCTCTCTGGGTTGGTCCCTGGCCCCGAGGCTCACCAGGCTTCACCACGCTGTGACATTTCTCACACTTGGGAGTCACCTCGGAGAAGATCTTCTCTGGGCGTGGAGAAGGGGAAGGGAGGGAAGGAGGTAAGCGACTCTGGGCTGGGGTCTGGGGCTGCAGCCAGCCTTCATTGTCCACAAATACACCTCAGTCGCTGGGGAGCCTCCTGGGGTGTTTGCCCTGCTCACCCTTCTCAGAGAGCTATCCCCCGCACCTCCTCCCACCCCCCAGGATTCCAGGGGGGCTCCACGCACCAGGCTACAGCTATGGACTTAAAGAATAAACACCAGAACAGACGATGAGCAGACGTTTGCCCTTTACAGGGGTAACTGGATCCCACCAACCCCTGACCTGGGCAATAAAGCTCTCCTAGTGGAGGGGCACCTGGGTGGCTCAGTCGTTAAGCGTCTGCCTTCAGCTCGGGTCATGATCCCAGGGTCCTGGGATCGAGCCCCACACTGGGCTCCCTGTTCGGCAGGAAGCCTGCTTCTCCCTCTCCCTCTCCCCCTGCTTGTGTTCCCTCTCTCGCTGTGTCTCTCTCTGTCAAATCAATCAATCAATCAATCAATCAATCTTAAAAAAAAAAAAAAAGCTCTCCTAGTGGGTCTTGGAGGGCAGCTCTATTTTATCCTGGGTGAGAGGCCTGGTGAGTCCCAGGCCTGGTGACAGAGAGAGGGAAGAATCTGCAGACGATCCTGGGATGGGGATACATCCTTAGGCCCAGCTGCTTCCCATCCTTGGGTTCTGGGACAGACACCTCCACACACACACACACACACACACACACACACACGCACCATCCTTAGGATAATCATGCTCCTTATCGCTTATTGATTAAGGAAGCTTGAAAAGCATTCTGTCACTTGCAACCAACCCACAGAATCCTGGCTTGTTTGTTCAGCTCTTCATTCATTCCTTCAACAAACATTTACAGAGCCCTGTTGTGATGTCTGTAAAGGAACTGAAAACATTTCGGCATTGACAGCGTTTAGGATTTTGTGGGGGCTGCACGCGCTATTGCTGTCAGGGACACATAAGGGGGTGGTGTTCATTGTCCATTCACCCCGGCTGCGCGCACTCGAGCTATTCTGGAAGGGTCACCCCAGCGGCGGTCAGCCGGCATCTAGGCAGAAAGGCCACCCTCCAGTGGCCCCACCACAAATGCCGCAGCTGTCGCTGTCTCACACGGACACCAGAGGCTTTGTGAAGTCAGCATAAAGAATGTCAGCAGTGGCTTGCCAGGGGTGAAATGCGGGGCTTCTGGGCAGCACAATGGATGTCAGACAAGATTCTCACTGGCATTCGAGAAATGTGGACTGGCTGACTTTCTCCCCCCTCTGTTCTGGACACTCTGCTCTTCCGTGAACTGGGACGCTGACTTCAACAAGCCCTGTTGTCTGCACCCCTAGGGACAGCCGCCAGCCCTTGTCCCTAGCCAGGCCTGTGTCCAGGTTCACATTCCATGGAGTCTGACTCACAGGCCGTTGGACCCTGTGCCGCTAGCTCAGTCCTGTCCAATATGGTGGTCACAGCCACGTGTGACTTTTAACACTGAAATTACTAAAAATGATGTAAAATTCCAAATTCAGATCCTTGGTACCGTTGGTTACATCTGTGAGTGGCCGAGAGCCACAGGCGGCAGTGGCCCCCATATGGGACAGCGCTGATCTGGATTCGAATGTCGTTGCGTTTGCCCACACAGGACCGTTGTGTAAGGTCAGGTCAGAGCCCTCGTGTAAGAGAGAGCTGGGGGCCTTGTGACCGCACAGAACAGACCATGTGCCCTTCTGGTAGCTTCTATGCCAACACACGTCTCTGCATGGCTGAGCTGGGTGTGGAGCTTGCTTCCATCATAACCCAGCTGTGAGTTGGTGTTGGGAGCAACGAAACCCCGAGGCCGCCTCATCTCCAGGGGCTGCCGTCGGCCACGGAGCAGGACGGAGTGGGTGCCCACCGCCTGGAGCCCCTGAGGAGCAGACAGTGGGCAGGAGGCCTGCCCTCGAGGATGACCTCCAGAGCCTCACCTTTCATCCAGCTGAGCGAGTACTCCCGTCGGCAGAGGGGGCTGATGCAGTGCGAGGTGTAGAAGGTGCCGTGGGCCTCCACCAGGTCCTCAGACTCCAGGCCCGCCACTCGCTCTAGCGTGTCTATGTTCTGGAGGGAGAGACGGAGGGAAGAGGCTCAGGAGTGAGACACAGCCCCCTCGGCGGCAGAAGGCAGAGCAGGGCGCTGCGAAGAGAAGCAAATGGCAGAGAGGGAGAAGGAAGGGAGGGAGAAGCAAGGGGCAGAATTTGCTCTATAAACTCATCTGCTCATTCTCAGGGGTCACCAAAGTGTGAAAGTCACAGATGGTTAAAGGTGGAGCACAAACTCATACCACCAGATGGAGTGTTTCTGCATAGTCAGGCCACTTTGTTTCCATTTTTCAGAAAACTTGTTTTTTTTGTTGGGACCACATGACGTTAGTGGCACCTGCCAGAAATTTGTTGGCATTGATGGACAAGCCTATAGTGGCTCTGTTGGAAATAGAGCGCCCTCAAATGTGGCATCCTTGTGCAGTACCCAACCTGCACAGCTGTCTGTGGCAGCCCTGGCTGAGCAGTAACACAAATAAGTGAATCAGGAGGGTTTATTTGGTTTTAATCACTGTTTTCCTAATCAGCAGTCGGGTTTCTTACTGTGGTCTGTTTCACAGACGGCACATTAACTGGCATTCTTTTAAGACGCGAATATATTCCTCATTAAACCAGCAAGACTATTCTTCCCTTCCACATAGACATATGTGCTCTCTCATTTTTCTTAAAGCATGCAGCACCCCCCCCCCCCCCCCCCCCGCAGCAGCTTTTGTTTGCCCGTGAGGAATGCTGCGGAGGCAGGTGCTGAAGGAGCCCCCAGCACGCGGGCAGATGCCACCCCGAGGCGGTTGGTCACGTGCAGCCCACAGCTGACCCAGCACAGCCTCCCTGAGACTCCAGGCACAACCGAAAGGGTTCTCTTTCAAGGGCAGATGGCCCCAACTGCTCTCTTCACTCCCTGCCAGCAATCAGCTTGTTCCCCAAACGTGCAGACAAGAGCCAGTGTTCCCAGACTCTCTCTGCAGCTTTTCCCCTCCCCCCCAGCATTAGCTTTGTCTTTGTTACTTGACTCAGTCTACAGCCCCCCTCACACGTGAGGAAGCAAGCAGTGTGCGTGCAAATAATTAAACAGCATGTAAAAGAACTACTGAGCCGCCTCTGTTTTTCCGAGGCCACTTCTGATAAAGAAACCACCAACGAGAAACGAATGCAGCTGTCCTGTATGTCCTGATATGGAAATGATCCCTCCAAGACGTTAAAAGGCACAGGAGAACAAAGGCTGTGGGAAAACTATACGTGAGGTGTGTATTTGTTTGCCTGTGTATAGAATATTTTTAAAGGTGATACAAGGGGCACCTGGGTGGCTCATCAGTTAAGAGTCTGCCTTGGGCTCAGGTCATGATCCCGGGGTCCTGGGATGGAGCCCCGCATCAGGCTCCCTGCTCGGCGGGGACCTGCCTCTCCCTCTCCCTCTGCCGCTCCCCCTGCTTGTGTGCTCTCTGTCTAATAAATAAATAAAATCTTAAAAAAAAAATAAAGGTGTTAGGAGAAGCCAACAACAGCAGTGGCGCCTAGGGAGGGAAGCTGAGGGCTGGGGAGTACGGCCCCAGGACGCCCTCTCCTAAAGGACAGGTGGTGATGAACACATGATGGTATGCGGCGAGTGACATGTGGCCTGGGTGTGTGGCAGCAAGCAGGGCACGGTGAGGATGGGCAGTGGCCACCCAGCTCCAGCCCAGTGCTCCCCCGGGGGACAGCCAGCTCTTCTCAATCTGCAGGAGGAGCCTGAAGTCCGGATTTTCAACTGAACTCTCTTGCTTTTTAAACCTTGGCTCCTTTTTTTGTTTCAGAACACTGTGTCCCCCTGATGGACACAAAGGCAACAGCGGTTTTGAAAAAGCATGAAGTTGGGGGCGCCTGGCTGGTTCACTAGGTAGAACAGAGCGTGCGACTCTTGAGCTCGAGGTTGGGAGTTTGAGTCCCACGTTGGATGGAGAGATTACTTAAAAATAAAATCTTGAAGGAAGGAAGGAAGGAAGGAAGGAAGGAAGGAAGGGAGGGAGGGAGGGAGGGAGGGAGGGAGGGAGGAAGGAAGGAAGGGCAGGAAGCTGCTATGTGGGTGAGGATTTGGAAGGGTCTTCCACACTGGAAGTTAAGTGAGAGAAAGCCCAGTACAAGCCCTACGTGTAGGGTAAATGCCATGAATATATTTAAAAGCTACTTTGCTGCAGAGATCGCAGGGGCTTGAGTGAACAGGGCAACTGTTTTCATGTTTGAATGGAGACTTGTATCTGGAGATAAAAATAGCGATCATACCTAGCTCCAGAAGTGCAACATCATCACAATCCAGAAAGAGGCGAAGACAGTGTGTTCCAGAAAACTGGGTCAGTGACTCAAAAAGTGGCTGAGGTTGACGGAGAGGGTGACAAGTTTTAAGAAAACAAACAAAGCGGTCTCCTGAAACATGAGAGTGGAACATTTTTTTTTCCCCCACGTTTGTCTGTTTTCTGTAATCGGCCGTTTTGCTGAGGTGTGTGCTGTTAAAGCCATGCATTCCCTGTTGCCAGTAGCGGAGACACGCCTGCACCTTTCCCACGGGCCCCAGAACGAACTGCTGCTGGCTTTCACAGAGAGGCAGCCCTGCCCGCTCTACCTTCCAAGCAGATTCCGAACCTGCACGCTTCTCCCCTCAGCGGCCCTCACCCTGGGCCAGCCTCCATCCTCTGCTCCGAACGTCACGGCAGCCTCCTCCTTGGTCTCTGCACCCCCGAGTTGTCCCCGACATGCAGTCAGAGGGACCCCTGCGTCAGGTCACGTCCCACCCTGCTCAGAGCCCTCCTGTGGCTCCCTCTCATTCAGCCCTTGCTGTGGCCCCAAGATTCCACATGGTCAGTCCCCGTCCCCTCCCTGAGCTCACCTCCTCCGTTCTCTCCTGCCGTTCTCTCTGCTCACTCGGATGCAGCTTCTCGAACATGCCAAATACAGTCTCACCTCAGGACCTTTGCCCCGGCTGTTCCCTTTGCCTGGAACCCACTCTCCCCCTAGATGATCCCGTGGCTCCCTCCGTCCCCTCCTAGAGGTCTTTGTCTAAATGCACCCTCCTCAGTGAGGCCTTCCCTGATGCCTGTTGACAACAGCATCCCTCCCCCCGCCCCAACACTTCTAATTCCCTTTCGGGCTTAATCGTGCTCCACAGACCCCATCACACCCTAGCTGTGCTTCCCACCCGTGCTGTCCACTGTCTCTCTCCCCACAGCAGACTGTCAGCTCTAGGAGGGCAGGGATATCGCCACCAGCAGGGCCTGACGCGGGCTTGGCACTCAGTAAGCACTTATGACAGAAGATGATGACACGGGGCCGCAGCGCGGATTCCATGAAATCACGCACAAGGGAGCCCTTGGCTTGGAGTGAGCTGTGTGTGTCGTGTCTGAGCCACGTCCCGTGGATAAAATGGACTCTGGGAAGAAAGGTCAGGTTTATCCTGAGCTGGGGCTCGGCCCGGAAGGAGGAGGCTGTCCTTTCTCAGGCCACCACCTCCAGTTCTAGGCAGCGGGCTCCTGCCCCCGTTTGAGAAATCTGGACTTAAAAGAAATTCATCCTCCCCCTGGTGGCAGCTTCTCAGGCTGGCAGGCTCCAAATTGCCAGGTGCAGGAAGAAAATGTTAGAATGCCCGTTTATCTTCAAGTATTCTCTCTCTCTTCTATAATTTTGGGTTCTGAGGTATCATTTTTTTTTAAGATTTATTTATTTATTTTAGAAGGAGAGAGAGAGAGTGAGCGAGCACACAGGGAGGGGAAGGGCAGAGGCAGAGGGAGAGAAAGTCTCAAACAGACTTCAGTCTGAGCGAGGAGCCTGACGTGGGGCTCGATCTCAAAACCCCGAGACCATGACCTGAGCCGAAATCAAGAGTGGGGCGCTCAACCGACTGAGCACCCAGGAGTGCCCTGGGGGGTCATTTACAACATGATATAACATGATATGACAGCTGTTACTGGCGCTGTGTAATTTCAGTACGTATTCACGTGCATTCATAAAACACCACATTCCTAAATCAAAGGTAGGGGCGCCAGTTTTTACGGTGAGGGGTGCGAGACGCCCAAAATGTCTTGCTGGCTAATCCAGAAGCCCACAACGTGAGCTGTCCTTGCCAGCGAGCTCCAGGGCAAGGCCCTTGGCTCAGCACCCGACACGGATGAGCCATGGCCCGTGTCACACGTGAGGCCTTTGTGCAAATTCTAAAAAGATGCCCCTTCCTTAAGACTCCCCATCTGCCGGTTGGAAAGCGGTCACAGTGTGCTGATTTTGTCAGCTCCGGTCACCCGGTGGCCATGTGCTGAAAACCCTAACAGAACAGGAAATCTCCACTGCAAATGGTGGCCCCTCACACGTGAGGTCCCTTGCCCCCGCACTCAGGATGGCGCTGAGCGGAGCTCCCTGCCATGTCACCACACACCTGAAGGGCGGGGCTCTTCTGGCCTCTGCTTTACAGAAGGGGAAACTGAGGCCGAGGGGGGGTGTGCAGTGCCCACGGCCGCCTACCTGCGTGTAGCAGCGCAGCAGTAGCTCCTTCTCCTTCAGCAGGCGGATGAAGTAGTGACAGATGGTCGGCTGGAGGGGAGCAAGCGGAACCACGCCGGTCGTGACGGAGCCCAGGGGCCATGCATCGCCACCGGCCGGGAAGTGTTCCAGGCGCTCTGGCTGGTTTACCTCATGGAATCATCACTAGCCCCATTTCTCAGATGGGAAAACGGAGGCTCAAGGTCACAAGAGCAGGAAATGAGGGACCAGGAGGTGGACCCAGGTGGCCCGGAGCCCAGGGCCTTCATGACCACGTGACACTTGTCTGAAGGGCCCCAGAGGAAGCCTTTCCCATGCCTGCTGTCCCCCCAAGCTTTCCTGTGCCCCACCCCTGGCAAAAAGGAGCTCACCTTGAACTGCCCAGGATAGAGTTCCTTGGCAAGAGCAAAGAAGGGCTCTGGGTGTTTCTGTGGGAGAGAGAACCGGAGGGCTGGTGGGCATCCAGATGCCCCTGGTGAGCTGAGAGCTGGGGTCAGGCGATCCCCACCCCTCCCTCACCATTACAGACATTCCTGCCTGGGGAGCACATACCTTGAAGTAGCCAATCTCAAAGATGGCCTCCGGGTAGGGAAGATGGTACTTCTCTAGGTTGGCATAGAGGCCCGTGGATGGGGAGCGGAAGTCAGGGATGCCGGCGGCTGGGGGAGGTGGGGCAGGGAGCAATGGGTCAGGGACCTCGGGCCCATCTATACCCCATCAATCCCCCCCAATCAAGGGCTCAGACACGGCTTCCCCCAGTCCCTGGATTGGGGTCCCCCAACATGACGGTGGCTACTGGGGGGGAGGGGACGCACTTACACGTGGAGATCCCAGCTCCCACCAAGCAGATGACCCTGCGACCTGGAGGAGAGGAGTTTCTGCATCATATGACAGTGCGCTCAGCCCCAAAATAACAGCACCCATCACAGCCCCTGACGCCATTCTCAGTGCCAGGCCCCACGGCGGGCATTTCAGATGCATGAATGGTCTTCCCAATCATCTTGGGGGGGTGTATTAACACCCCCACTTTACAGATGAGAAAACCAAGGCTCAGATAGAGGAAGGATCATGCAGTCAACTGGTGGCAGAGTCAGCATGGAGACAAAGAATTTACTATTTCAAATTATACCAAATTAGACAGATTCGAGAAACGGCCACTTGGAGAGAAGTTTCCCCTCCTAACTAGATCTAGACAAAAACGTATGAGCTCTTAGAGAGAAGGCTGGGGGCAGCGGTGGGGGTTCCCCCCACCCAGAAGAGCTACATGTTATTGTAGAAATCTCTGGCTATGCCTCACCTTTTGGACACAATCTTGAATGACCATCTATTTCTAGCATGTTCCTTCAGCATATTCCTTTCCTCTATAATCAAACACGCATCAGCCACCGAAGTCTGATGAAGACCAAAGATTTGCCCCTCTTGGCCCTCACCCAGTGAACAGCAGGTAGATAAGAGGGCTTCAGATCTTGGCTCTCCTGCTCACCAGCGGGGCGGGGGAAGGGGTCTTAGTTCAGATCTCCCCTCTGGGCTTCCGCTTCCTGCTCTGTAAAATGGGCCTAATTACAGTACTGACTTCATGGGGCTGTCAAGAGAATGAATTCATTCGTGTAAAGCTTAGACCAGTGCCCGGCACTGAACGGACCCTATAGATGTGTCTGCTATTATTCTTTGAGTCAGCTGCACTTCTTGAGACCCAGGACTTGTACGCGTATAAGCACTTCACTCCGTTTCCTCCCGGCTTTCAGAAAAGAGGTTGGGAGGGTGTGGTAGGAGTCCCATCATTTCCCAAGCACACGGGGCTGTGCAGAAATAGCCCTGTTGCCTCGTCAGCTGCTGGCGGGCAGCCCTGCCACGGGGGACCCTGGCATCTGCCTGTCAGCTGATGGTCAGGCACAAGTGTGAGGCCTGTGAACTAGGGACTTCTGGGGTAACCTGTGCAAGGGTGACGAAGCCCTCGGCTTTGTCTCGGGGCTGCCATCGGACCGGGGCCAGCTGGACCCAGCTGGGGCCACGTGGGAGGGAGCATGTGCTCTGGATTCAGGAGCCCTGCCTGCCTCTTACCAGATGTGTGACCCTGCATGGAGTCACAACCTCTCTGGGCCTCCGCTTCCTCCTCTGTCCAGACCACACCTATCGAGTGCCTAGCCCAGTGCCTGGCAAATGGGGACGGCTCAGTTAACTGTTGTTCTTCGCTGTGCCCCTCATAGGCAGCCTCGTGAGCCAACTGTCCGTCCCAAAACCCAAGTGCGGGAGGATGGAAGCAACCAGAGCTTTGCGGCCATTGCCTGTGCTGTCTTTGGGGGAGGAGATGTCTGCAGACAGCTGCCCGGCCCGGCCTGGGAGAGGGAGGCTCAGGGCAGCAAGCCTGGACGCCTGAGCAGGGAGACGGCAGCAGCTGGAGGACAGGGAAACGGGAGAAGACGTTCTCAACAAAAGCCTGTTCAGGGCCCTCAAAGGGTCGATTGTTCTAGTTGAGGACTGCCGAGGGCCCGGTGTCTCGGACTCTGGTGACCTCAACTTGCAGCAAGGAACAGAAATGGCATGGTGACCTAGTAGAGAGGCACCTCCATAGCACCCCGAAACGCGCCTCCTGTGATAGTCACAGGGCACGCGGCTCTTCCGGGCCCTCTTCCGGGCATTTACGTCTCTACTCAGGTGTTGCACCCCTCAGGACCCTATGGGGTAATTACTGTTGGTATCACCTTCAGGCTGTCAAACACGTCTGGCCAATCAGCAATGGAGGTGTGACCCACGCCTGGCCAATCAGAGACACGGTGGTTGGTTTGCGGCAGGAGCGTGACCCAACCTGGTCCAATTGGGGCCCATCTCTGCCCTTTCGCTTGAACCCCTGGAAGGAGATACTAGGCTGGTGGAACTGACACTCGGTCAGTGTCAGGTCCCTTCCACCTCAACACAGAAAAGCTGCGCCAGAGGGGGTTAAGATTCTTGACAACACGGAAACCTCTGAATCCAGCCACGCTTAACGCTGGATTTTAGTTAGAGGGTCAATACTCCCTTTTTGGCCTAAGCCTGGTGGAGCTGGGTTTCTTGTTACTTGGAAGCAAAAGGTGTGATGGTTCAAGTGGCGGCGGCTGAGAAGTCACTTGGGGCCCGGGGCCGGGCAAGTGGCGCAAGGCAGGGCGGGGACTCACAGCGCTCGCTCTGCATGTAGCGCGTCACCCCTTCCAGGGTCAGGTCGTCCAACAGACGCTCCTTCTGGGTGCCCAGGCCCAGTGTCTGGGAGAAGAAATTCCGCAGGAAGTCCACTGGCCAAAAAGCAGAGCGAGAACAGCAGGGTGGGCGTTCAGTTGGGGTGCACTGGGGCCCCGAGTGCCCCTGCCCCAGACAGCCCTGGGATCCCCCACCCTCCCACAACCGGGGACCTCTAGGTTGCATTGCACCCAATATACATACTCTGACTGTCACCCTCAGTGGGGGTGAGGGGTAGCAACTACATCCCTGCCCTAAACCGCTCCTCCAGAACCCCACTCCCAAGGAAGGTACTCACTCTCGGCTTCTCCGCCTGCAGCTCCTTCCTCAGTGTCTGAATCTGAGTCCTGGAAGGGGCGGGGGTGGGGTGACCAGGCCCCAGAAGTGGGGTTAGGCAGGGAGGAGAGGGGAGGGTGGCACCCGGGTCTGGGGGGAAAGGCTCCGGCTGGGAGTGGGCCCAAGGAAGAGAGGGGTGGTCCGGGGGCCAGTGTGCTTGGGCTCTGGGATGGGCTGCATGGGGCAGAAACCTGGTCCTGCTCTTGAGGAGCGTCAGTTCTTTGCTGTTCTGAGTCTGATGCTCCTCATCTTGGAAACGGAGCTCAGAGGAGGTGGCACGGCCATCAGAGGGCTATCTGGGATGACACGCGTTAACCCAGGGGAGGTGCTCTGCGCAGTACCCAGTGGGGTAAGCGCTTGGGAAGTGCTGACATTGCCCGGTGTCCCGAGCCCTTGCCTTGCAGCCCTGCCTGTCCCCTGCGGCGTGGGCCCGCTGCCCTCCTCACCACAGCCACTCCTGTGAATGATGCCAGTGGAAACGCCCCCGTCCTCCCCCTGGGGCCCTCAGCGCTCCTGCCTGGAGCCCTGGACGCCACCTGTCCAGCCCCTCCGTGTCATTATCTAGCGTCATTATCCACTCCGCCGCTCAGCCAGGCTCCCAGATGGCCGGTGCTAGACTCTGTCCTGGGCCCTCCCTACCTCCTCTCTCCACCTTCCCTGGGCTAGCTCCCTCATCTGTGCCAATGGTCTTGGCCTAGCCATTGATAATGCCACCTCCTAGTCCCCAGATCCGGGGTTCCCACAGCCTCCTGGATGCCTCCTCCTAAGTGACTCCTGGCCTCCCTTTCCCACCACATTTCAAACTGGGCTTTAGCGTCTCTCCTAAACCTGCCCCTCCTCCTAGGCCCCATCTCAGTGTGGCTTCTGTCCCCCAGTCTTTGTCTCCCTCTCCTGCCCTCCCATCATAATGTGTCCCCTCTCCGGGGCTCTATCTGGTCCAGCCTGTACTCCCTCCGGGGGCCCTGTCCTGGCCTCCTCCCTAAGCTCCCAGCCTCAGCCTCCACCTCTGATGGACTCTACTGCCCTCTGGGTGATGGCCTGGCTGTGTCGGCCCACCCCGCCCTCCGCTCCAAGCGCCCCTCTTGCTGGCTTCTTCAGTCTAACCATCCAATCGCCAACAGCTATGGAGTCCGCCATGACGTCAGCTCCAAGATGGTGGGATTTTTCATCTTTACCCATGGACGCCCAGCACCAAGAACAGCGTCTGGCCCCTGGCAGGATCTCCAGAACTAACCATCACTGAACGAATGGATACTTGCTGTGTGCTACACCAGGGCTGGGCCCTGCAACAGACCTCACAAAAACACAGTTCTGACTAACGCACTCTCCTGCCTAAAACCCCTCCAGTGACAGACTCCCCCATCATTCTCTGCTCTGGTTTCAAGCCTTTTTGAATAGGAACTGCTCTTCCAAACATGTTTAAATTTTTTAATTGCTTTTCCATAAGCTTTGCAAAAACTTTGACCATTAGACCATGTGTGACTTGAGGCACTTGCCTCTAGTTCCCTCACCCACCCTGGTCACGATGACCACCCTTAACAGTACAGTGGTAATGACTCTAGATTTTTTTCTCTGCACATAAAACTCATTCGTTTTCCAGAAATGGGTCATGCCATAGTACAACGTCTTCCGTCTTCCGCAGAACAATATACTATAGAACCACCTTGTCCTTTAAAAAAACTACATAGTGTTGCATTGTAAGGATGAGCCATAGTTCATTTAACCCGCCTACTGACGGCCACTTGGGCTGTTTCCAGTGTTGCCCTTATCACAGACAATGCTGCAATTTACACCCTCAAATCTCTCTTTCTGGGACTGAGGATCCCTTTTTAACATTAAACCTTTCTCTGTGACAGTGGCTGAGCCCCGGCATCCAGGCGAGGGAGAAGCCCCGGCCTGACAGGAAGCTTTCAGCCCCTCAGTGTGGCCCTGCTGTGCATCTGTCAGGGGCTTGCATCTCAGCTTCTGCACTGCCCTACATCTGAGTGGCGATCTCGCGTCTCTGGGAGGGTTGGCAGCCTTGCAGGCCGCAGACAGCGAGGCTCTGTGGGAGGACTCAGGGGCCCTGTCCAGCATGTGGGAACAACTTGGCCTAAGGGGGAGCTGGAGGTGCTGCTGGGGCCTTCAGGTCTCTGTGAGGCGGCCTGGCTACCTCTTCCTGAAGTTTCTGGAAGGCAACCTGCAGGGTGCTGTGGGTTGCAAAGTGGTCCCTGCTCTTCTAGCAGGGGGACCAGAGGACAAGTTACGTAACAGCTCTGCCTCAGATTCCTCATCTGTAAAATGGTCCCAGGAGGCCTTGCCCCCCCCTGCAAGGGATTCTGGGAAGATGAAATGAAATGATGTACATAAAGCACTGAGCGGAGTACCCAGCTGGTATAAGTACTCAATAAATGCTAACCTCGGCTATAATTAGCTAACCACCCCCAGCCACCAGGCTAGTGACCATATCATACCCTTCATGCCCCCCAGTCTTTGCACAAGCTGTGCACTCTGCATGGAACGCCATTTCTCACCCTGCCTAAGACAATTCTAAGTCACTCTTCACTTACTGTGAGGTGTCTGCACCTCAATCTGACTCCTAGGCCAGCCTGTGGGTTCGCCCAGGGAACGGACCGGCTGGAGTCTCTGTGACCCCACAGAGTTTACTCTGCCTTGAGCTACTTTCATAATCACCCTGGAGGGTCATTTCCAGTCACCTGTCCATGAGATTTGTGTGTTCAGGGACCAAATCGGATGCCCGTCTCTTCCAGGCCCAGCATAAATGAGGTTCAGAAAGGATAGGGGGAGGGAGCAAGGAAAGAGAAAAGTTTGGGAGGGCAGGCCTGGAGTTGAGGCTGCACACCCTTCTCTGACGGTCCCCAGAATCCACCATTCCCCAGGAGGCTGAACCAGGAGTTGGGGCAAGGGACTGGGGCAGTGAGCTGAGGGCCCTGGGGTAACTGTGTCCCCTTTGCCACCTCCCCCCGGTGTGGGGTGCGGGAACAAGTCCATCTCTCTCCTTCCCTCCACCCTTCCCCAAATCTCACCTGAGCCTCCTGCACCTTCCCTGCCTGGGTCTCCAGAGGGTCAGAGGCTGGGGGAGGAGGGGGAGCAGACGTGGTTACAGTGGGGGGCATGGTTAAGTTGGAATGAAGGGCTTCAAAGCAGAGGGGCAGGGGGCAAGAAGACCCACCAAGCTAATTACACTGGGGTGGGAGGTGGGGGTAAAAGTGGAGTAGAGGAAGGGAGGGGATGGGGAAAAGTAGACCATATTAGAATAGACAGTGCTGTCAGGAGAAGTGGTTAGTGAGGGACAAGGAGGCTGGGGCTGGAAGGTTTAGGAGAGGGAGGAGAAAGCAAAGCATACAGGGCATGCGGGAAGACTTAGAAGTGAGGAAGGAAATAGTGTGTGTGTGCGTGCGCGCGCGTGTGTGTGCAGGGAGGGTTAGGTTTACTAACAGAGGGAAATTTAAAAAGGAAGAGAGGAGATAAGAAAATACTCTGAGTAGAGACGGGTTTAGGAGAGGAGGTGCAGTGGGGATGGCATGTTTAGGAGGGGCACAGGAACTAGAGGGAAGAGATAGGAGAGGGGCACCAGGGGTCCGCTAGCATCCTACAGTTCCGCCTAACAACCAGGTACCCTTAGCAACCGGGTCCGCGGCAACCTAAGTCCTTAGCAACGAGGGTCCTCAGCAACCAAGGTGCGAGAAACACGCGATCATTAGGAATTTGGGGGACGTGGCAAACGGACCCTTAAAAGCTCGCGACCCAGAAACCCACCAACCTAGCAAGATGGATCACTTAGCAACGACCCTCCACCCCCGCCCCGAATCCCACTCCCCGCCATGCAGCCCCAACCTCCAGCCCCACCGTGCCCCGCCTCGGGCCCCGGGGCCTGCAGCCCTCCGCCAGGCCCCGGCGCGGCCCGACCCTCCCACCGGGGCCCCCGACTCACGGTCCGGCTCGGCCATGGGCGCGGGGCGGGGGCCCTCGGGGCTGTCACCGACGGCTCTGTCCCGTGACGGCACCGGAAACAGGAGGGGCAGAGATAGGGCAAAGAACTACAACTCCCAGCAGTCATCGAGGATGCAGACGGGTTTTTCGCACAGCGTCCGGCGCGCGCCGCTCTTATGTTAGGAAGCCGCGCGAGGGCCGGACTACGAGTCCCAGAGTGCTCCGCGCAGGCAGCCATGTTGGTGAAGGGCGGCCGGAAAATGTGGGAATGGGTAGAGAGCCGCAGTCCATCTGAATACTCTGATTGGGCGTAGTGTGGTAAGTGGGAGGGACGTGTACCCTTTGGCTCACTCTGATTGGATGAGTCAAGGGGGAGTGTTGGGGAATTCCCCGCAGGGCGGAAGCGCCAGGGCCTCAGGCAGAGCCTAGCTACAGGCGGGCGGCCGCTGGGGCCCCTGAGGCTTCGGGGGCCATGGCCGGGGTCGCGTGCTTGGGGAAAGCTGCGGAGGCCGACGAATGGTGCGACAGCGGTCTGGGCTCTCTGGGTCCGGACGCAGCAGCCCCCGGAGGACCGGGGTTGGGCGCCGAGCTGGGCCCGGGGCTGTCGTGGGCGCCCCTCGTCTTCGGCTACGTCACTGAGGATGGGGACACGTGAGTGAACTTTAGGCTGCCAGACCCGGCCCTAGGATCCGACGTCGGATTCCCTATTAGTCTCTGGCCCCGGCTTCCTCACCTTTCACTCCTAAATCTAACTTCTGATGCTCGACTTTCTGACCTCTAACCCCCAAGTCCTAACCTTTAGTAAAACCAATCTCCTATCCAACTCTGACCCTAACCCCTTAATTTCTCTGACCTTCCTTTCTTGAACTGCGGTTCATCGAGCTCCACATCCCTATCCATTGATTTACGGACCCTAGTCCTGAGACTTTCGTTAGAGCTGTGTTCAGACAGGCCCCTCCTGACCTCCTACCTCCAAATACGATCCTTGATCCTCAGCTCCTGATTCATGCGCCTTGAACTTGTATTTCCAAAATTAATACTTGGCCTTGACTCTAAGATTCTACCTTCTGAGCACTGATCTTCAGATCTTACATTCAAAGAGAAAATGTAAGCTCCACGAGCAGGGATTGATTGGTGTTTAATGTTTATTGAACACTACCACCTTCCAGGCCCTTTTTAGGTGCTGTGATAAAGCAGTGAAGAAAACAAACAAAAACTTACATCCTTGTGGAGTTTACATTCTAGGGTAGGTATATAGACAGAAGGACAGACAGACTGACAGGAAGGAAGGGAGGGAGGGAAAACAAGGAGAGACAAGGAACGAAAGAAAGGGGCAGAGAAGGAAAGGAAGAAACAAAGAAAAATGAAAAACAATATACAAGAAAGGCAGAAAAATGGTGTGTCTGAAGGGAGTAAGTTCTTTGGGGAAAAAATAAAGCAGCAAATCGAGACCAGTAGATCATCTGGGGCAGGGCTCTCGGGGTAGAAGGAACAAGAGTTGTAAGGGCCCATGAGGGATTGCACTGGGGTTTTTTGTGTATTGCTTTTGCTGTTCTATCCACAGTGACTAAACAGTGCTTGACCTATAAGAGGCACTCAGGAAATAGTGATCTTTTCAAAGACCCCCGCTTAGGTTTCAATAATTTTCTTTATTGGTTTTCTGCTTTTTATTTCATTGATCTCTGTTCTGATTTTCATTATTGCCCTCTTCTGCTTACTTTGGGTTTAATTTGTTCTTTTTTTTTTTTTTTTTTTTTTTTTTTTTTTGTTTTTACTTTGGGTTTATTTTTTTCTTTTTTTTTTTTTTTTTTTTTAGTTTCTTAAGATGGCAGCTGAGATCATTTTGAGACTTTTCTAGTATAGTTGTTTCATGCTGTAAATTTCCCATAGTAATGCTTTAGCAGTCTCTCACAAATTCTGATATGCTGTGTTTTCATGTTCATTTAATTCAAGATACTTTGTAGTTTCTCTTTTGATTTCTTCTTTGGCCAGTGGATTATTTAGAAATATGTTATTTAGGGGTGCCTGGGTGGCGTAGTCGGTTGAGCGTCTGACTCTTGGTTTCCGCTCAGGTTGTGATCTCGGGGTCCTGGGATGAGCCTCCCCGTTGGGCTCTATGCTCAGTGTGGAGTCTGCTTGGGATTCTCTCTCCCTTTTCCTCTGCCCCTCCTGCTTGTGCTCTCTCTCTCTCTAAAATAAAGGAATAAATTTTTTTTTTTAAGATTTATTTATTTAGGGGCGCCTGGGTGGCTCAGTCATTAGGTGCCTGCCTTCGGCTCAGGTCATGATCCCAGGGTCCTGGGATCGAGCCCCACATCGGGCTCCCTGCTCAGTGGGGAGCCTGCTTCTCCCTCTCCCACTCCCCTGCTTATGTTCCCTCTCTCGCTGTGTCTCTCCTTGTAAAATAAATAAATAAAATCTTTTAAAAAATTATTTATTTATTTTGGGGGGGTAAGGGCAGAGGTGAGGGAGAGAGAAACCCAAGCAGGCTCTGTGCGGAGCCTAATGCAGGGCTTTCATTGACCCTGAGATCCCATGACCCTGAGATCACGACCTGAGCTGAAACCAAGAGTTGGTTGCCCAATCAAATGCCACCCAGATGCCCCTAAAGAAATTAAAAAGAAGAAGAAGAAGAAGAAGAAGAAGAAATATGTTATTTGGTTTCCAGATAGTTGGAAAGTCTTCCAAATATCTTTCTTTTATTGATTTCTAATTTAATTCCATCGTAGACCAAGAGGATACTTTGTATGACTTGAATCCTCTTAAATTTATTGAGAATTATTTTATGGTGCTGAACATGTGTGTACTTGAAAAGAATGGGTATTCTGCTGTTGTTAGGTGTAGTGTTCTCTAAATGTCAGTTAGAGGTCCTATTGGCTTATAGCTTTACCATAGTTTTATATAGCCTTGCTGATGATTTCTATCTCCTTTTTCTATCACTTATTGCGGGGGGGCATTGAAATCTCCAACAGTCATTGTGGATTTGTCTGTTTCTCCTATGCTCTGTTATTAGGGGCACAAATGTTTAGAATTATTATGTTCTCTTGCTTAATTGACCTCTTTATCATTATGAAGTAACCCTCTCTATACCTATAGAGTAATATTCCTTGCTCTAAAGTCTAGTCTGATATTAAAATACTCACTGCTGCTTTCTTTTGACTAACTGCTGTTAGCATGGTATATCTTTTCCCACCCTTTTATTTTTAACCTATCTTTTAATACTTATATTTAAAGGGTGTTACTTGTAGGGAGCATATATAGTTGGTTTTGCTTTTTTATTCAGTCTGACAATTTCTGCCTTTTAACTGAAATGTTTAGACCATTTACATTTAATTATTGATAGAGGCATGCTTAAGTTTATCATCTTATTGCTCATTTTCTACTTAACACCTCTTCTTTGTTTACCTTTTCTTTTCTACCTTCTTTTGGAACCTGTAAATTTTGTCCCGTTGTATTCTTTTGTTGGCTCATTAGCTTTATTTATTTAAGGTTTTATTTATTTTTATTTTATTTATTTTAGCAGGGGGGAGAGGGAGAGAGAATCTCAAGCAGACTCCCCACTGAGGGTGGAATCCGATGCGGGGTGTGATCTCACAACCCTGAGATCATGACCTGAGCTGAAATCAAGAGTCAGACACTTAACCGACTGAGCCACCCAGGCGCCCCTTAAGATATTGTTTTTATGTAATCGCTACACCCAACATGGGGCTTGAACTCACAACCCCGAGATCAAGAGTCACATGTTTTACCGACCGAGCCAGCCAGGAGTCCCTGGCTTTATTAGCTTTAACTCTTTGTTCTGTTGTTTAAATAGTTGGCAAACTGTGGTCTCCAGGCAAAATCTAAAGCCATCCATCTGCTTTTGTATGGCTGTAAGCTATGAATGGTTTTTACATTTTTAGTTATTTTTATTTATTTATTTATTTATTTATTTATTATTTATTTATTTATTTTTAACGATTTTATTTATTTATTTGACAGAGAGAGACACAGCGAGAGAGGGGACACAAGCAGGGAGAATGGGAGAGGGAGAAGGAGGCTTCCCACTGAGCAGGGAGCCCTATGTGGAGCTCGATCCC